CACACACACAACATGCACACCGGTGTGCACATGCAACACGCATGCACGCGCGCACACACACAACTAACCAACCACACCCCAGCCTTCTGAGGACCGGGTCAGTCTCCCTCTGGCACCCAAATTTGTGGTCCCCTTTTCTGCCCGAGCTGCCTCTTCTCCACGGGGTCCGTTCTCTGATTTTCCCAACAGAAAACCTTTCGGGGGCCTGGCAAGCCAGTCTCGGTGTTCCCCCAGTGGCATGCGCCCGGCTCAGGGCCCTCCTCTCCACCGCGTACCTACCAGCGCTCGGCGGCCATCGGGCCTTTGCACAAGCTGCCTGCTGCCTAGAACACCCCGCACCCTGCAGCGTCCTCCTCTGGGACGGCTCCTCGGACTTCACTGGCCCGATCAAACCTTCTGTGACACAGAGTCACCTGCCAACGCCCGTGGCGGCTCGTGTGGGCGGCTCCTTCCCGCCCTGATCCCTGAGAAGGAGGCTGCGAGCTCCTTGAGAAGAGGGGCTGACTGCTTTGCCCCCCAGTGTCGGCCCAGTGCCTGTCCCCAGTGGGTGTCAACAAAGCGTAACTCCGGCGGATGAAGGAATTCTCCTCAAAGGGCACCGAGTCTGGGAAGAGACGCGCCCGCCCCAGTCCCGACCGGAGGCCAGAGCCGCCCTGCGGGCTGCAGACACTCACCCTCTTCTCGTGGTTGGGCACGATGCAGCGGACGAAGCTGGGGTTGGTGTTGCTGAGCGTGGCCATGAGGCGGCTCAGGGACTCCTTGTAGAGCTGCCCCACCGTGCGGAACATGCCGCGCCGGGGCCGGCCTCCGGGGGGGCCGTCCCCCAGGCTGCTCACCTGCTCCAGCCCCACGATGCCCTCCACTGCGGGGAGAAGAAGCCAGTGTGGGCACGGGCCAGGGTCAGGGGTCAGGGGTCAGGGGCTAGGCCGGCCTGCTGGCGGCCTTGCTCTTCCCACAGACACCTCCCGTCACCACCGCACACAGGGCAAATCAAGGCTCGGAAAGGAGGGGCTGTCTGTGCACCCCGCGGGGAAACCAGACCCAGCACCCGACCTGGGCACTGCGGGTCCCTCAGGCCCTCATCTCGGGCCTTCCTGCCCATTCCCCCCTATAAATTATATGCTTCCTCCTGCAACTGGGCCCTCATCTTAAATGGGCATTTGTTTTAAGTATGACAAACTATTGATGAAATGTGAAAGCTCGAAAGCTGAAATATTTTTGGGGGGCCATGACGGGTGAATTAGACAAGAACTGGGGTTCAGTGAAAGAGTGTGAGGTCCTCCTGTAGCGTGCATCCTCTGCGCACTCCTAACTCCCCGCTGCAAACACCAGCACCCTACTACATGACTCCATCGGCTCCTCCTGAACCCCCTTATTTTGGACGTCTTCACTGAGCTGGAGCCATAACTTGAAAAAGTAATTTAGGGCCCTCCCTGGTGGTGCAATGGGTTAAAGCACAGCACTGTGAAGCTATCACAGCTGCTGCAGCATGAGTTCGATCCCCGGCCAGGGAGCGACCCCCAGGGTGCAGCAGACCCCTCCTGTCTCCCAGCTGCCCCCCTCAGCAGAGGATTCCAGTCTGTCTGCCTGTTCTGCTCCCCACTGTCTCTGGGGAGTCCTCTCACCCCTGCACCTCTGGCCTGTACCCCAGTTCCGTATGCATCAATAAATAAATCTTTAAAAAAAAAAAAAAGCAACTTTCAGGAATTCTCCTCTCACCCCCACCGGCCTCCCTCGCCCCTCCCTGTTGAGAACTATGCAGGAGTGATGCCGTTCCTGAAGCTCCGAGGTTCCTGGGGCCCCCGGGCCCTCCGCCCTCTCTTCCGGTTTCCCAGTCAGCAGTCCAGGCTGCAGCAAGCGCTCGCTCAGCCGTTCTGCCGGCTCCCTGCAGGCCTGCCGGCTCCCCTGGGTGAGACCCACCGGCGCACAGGAGAGGGGACAGGCAGCGAGGGGGGACGGCCACGGGCGTGGCCACAGCGGCCACGACCTGTGGCCACGGTCACGACCCGAGCAGCCCGGCTTCCCGGCAGACCTGAAGTCAGGCCCCCAGCCGGCTTCCGGGTGACCCTGCCTTCCCTGCGGCCTCCGGGTGACCCTGCCTTCCCTGCTGGGTCTGTGCCACGTCAGCGCTGAGGAGGCGCCGACCCTCCTGCCCACGGGGCCTGCAGGTCTCTGACCCGGGGTGGGGTGGGGTGGGCAGAGCCCGGCGCTCTGGAGTCCCCAGTCACGGGGTTGTGGGGGCTCAACCAGGTGATCCGCCAGGGAGGCCTGGAGGTTGGGGGCCTCAGAGAGGGCCGACTCTCCCCAGCCACCCCCAGCTATGGTCGAAGCGAGAAAGGCCACGGATTGAATTCGCAGGGCTCCGGCAGCCAATGTCCTGGGTTCAGATCCCAGCTCTGCTACCCTCCCCCCTGCGGGCTGGGTGAGCTCAGGCGAGTGACCCCACTTCTCCGTGCTGCGGTTTCCTCCTCGGTATAGCGGGGTGCTGGTCCTAAAACCTGCTTCGCTCAGGGGACCCTGGGCCTTACGAATCGTAAAAGGGCGTCCCGTGGCCGGGGCACACAGCAGGTGCTCAGCGAGAGCCGGCCGGGGGACCCCACTGTTGGGGCGCTCACCTACGGCAGTGTTAGAAGGAAACACACTGGAGGCCCCTGGAGGCCAGGGGCCGGCGGCTGACAGCGAGGCGGGAGCGGAGCAGGTCTGGGGCGGGGACGTGCTCGGAGCCCACCCTCCTCGCCCAGCAGAGCTCACCCGTCGGCACACAGCAGCACCCAGGCCCTGGCAGAGCAGCCGCAGGGCTGAGCCTCCCGGAAGAGCCTGGGGGTGACGCAGGGAGGGAGCCGAGGAAAGAGAACTGCTGGAAGGCCCCGTGTTCTGGGGGGTGAGCACAGATGGGGGAGACGGCAAATGGCGGGGGGAATGCAAGGGCCAGCATGAGATGCGAGGAGGGAGGGAAGGTGGCAGGGAGGAAAGAAAGAGGAGAGAGGGTATTACTCCACAGCGCAGGGCGAAGCGGAGGGGAGAGCCCACGGCTGGCGAGGCACTTTCACAGCAGGGAGGCCATGGGGTCAGCCCAGTGTCCTGCGTCAGGGGGAGAGGGGTCTCCCCCGAGCCCCTGAGCGTGTCTGTTTCAGTGGGTATCCCTTTTCGCTCCGGCTGCCGGGAGGCTCAAGGCTAACGTGATGCTCCAGGAAGCTCGCTGTGCTCGCCACGGGCCCTCCTGGGTGTTAGCGGCCTGGTGCGCACCTCCCTGGCACTGCAGCCCCTGGGGTCTGGCCAGGCTTGTAACCGGTTTTATTCAGAACTGTAGAGGAAGGAACGCTACTCCAGGCAGCTCCCGCTTGGTCTCCTGGAACTCTTTGCGGGCCAGGCACACATTAGGGATTACTAGGGTCGCATGTGCCCATAAATGGGGTTTTAAAGAAGTCGTGGGAGTGGAGGTTTTGCAGATGATTCTCAGCGCTGAATCTGGTTCTGCCAGCCTCGAGCACTGCCTTCCAGCCCCCGGGTGCAAACCACAGGAGGGACGAGCATCTGCCCCTCGTTCTGAAGTCGGTCACAACATCAGGCCTTTTGTCCTGAGCGCCTCTGGGACCTCGCCTGGCTACTTTGTCCTGCAGGTGGTCCTGCAGCCTCGGGACTGCCTCGTGGGGTCAGGCTCCGGCAATCGACAAGTCCCGAAACTCGGGAGCTAGGGCGGGGGGTTGAGAAGGTGCTGATTCCGCCAGCTTTCTAAAATCAGCTCCCAAACCAGCCTCCTCTAAGGGCAACAGGCAGCAGACAGCCCCGGAGAAGAGGCTTTTCTGCCCACGCCTCCTACAGCTAATGGCCAGTGGGTGCAGGAAAACAGAAGGACTTGGACTTCCTCCTTCCCTGGGGCCTCAGAGCACAGCGTGGAGAAAGCATGGCCTCTAAGATGACCAGCGTGCAAAAGCCCACCCTTCCCACGCCTTTGGTCTCATTCATTTTCTGCTGAAGCTCAGTTGATCATCTCCAACAATCCTCTCAGCCCCGGGGTCCATCAACTCAGTTCTTTTTCCGGTCAGACTGAGTAGCTGGTACCCCGAGGACAGAGGCTGGCAGTGGCCTCTGCGCTCGTTGCTCCTTGCTGATGAGGGATGTTTCATCACACACGAGGAGGGGCTGGCCCCCGATATCAATCAACCGGCTGATCAATCGATCGATCACAAATCGGGAGCGCTATGATAAAAGTGTGGGCTTCCTGCATCACACTGCGCAGACGACTCAGGTTCAGAACTCGGCCTCTGAAAGTGGGGGTGGGGTTGGGCGAGGGACCCCGGAGCTGCCGGGCAGCCACTCACCGTCTTTCCAGATCTCTGCCGTGAGCTTGTCGGTGCTCTGATGAAGCAGGGTTGCGACGCTGTCATTCAGAGGGTCCATGTTTTTCATCAGCCACTCATTGGCCTTGTAGTCAACCTGAGTGAAGCGGACAGGACGATGGGGAACTTGCGGGGTCACGGTCGCTTCCCAGGGCGACTCCCAGGGCGCCTCCCGGAGCTCCCGGGCTCACCGGACGGGCGCGCGTTGGTGCCATCTTGTGCTCAGGTCCTGAACTGCACCCTCCGCCTCCCGCCCCTGTGGCTTTTTCCACTTAGCTGGCGCCTGTCCACCTCCTAGACCAACTATCCACTGACCTCCCTACTGTGTCTCAAACACTCAAGCTCATTTCCTCTGCCATTCCTGCCACAAGAGATGCCCTCACTGTGAATTTTGCACTTGGCTGCCTCTTTCCAGGTCCTCCGGTCTTGCTTGAATTGGGTCCACCCCGTGTGGTCCCCATAAGTTAGGGGCTCCCTGAGGCCAGTCGGGCTGGACTAGTAACCCAGCATAGGGTAGGGGGAGGGATCGTTGCACCTGTTTGGCAAGTGAAAGCCGGGTGCTGGCACAAAACATGGGGGACTCCTGCCTCCTGGCCTTCGTGTATGCTGTTCCCTGTGCCAGGAGAGCCCTTCCCACTGTCCGCCTGCCCTGGCCTACCTGCCACTTGGCAGTTTCAACCGGCAGTTAAACCCGGCATGGCAGACTGCCACCAGGGGCCAGATCTAGCCTCCTCTTTTGTCTGCAATGTTTTATCGGCATACAGCCTTCATTTATTTTATTCAAATATAATTCGGGCTAGTCTCAAACTATCTGCCGAGATGGCAAGCTAGTCCCACCCAGGCTGTTACTTGTTTCATATCTGCAAAAACTTCATTAAATGGTCCACTGGGGTGTTTGGTGGGGAGCCCCAGCTAAGCCACCATTTCGGCAACGCGACAGCCTCATCTATACACTCACCATGGAGTCTGTGCTGCATGCTTTGGCATCTCAGTGGCCGAACATTTGTGACACATGTGACTTAGGCCACAAAGCTGACAATATTTACCAGGTGGCATTTTACAGAAGTGTTTCCTGACCCTCGGTTTAGATTCCAGGAGAAGCATTCCCTTCCTGGGAGTCCTCCTTTGGGTCTGACACCGTCTTTAGTTGCCCCTATTAGAGCACCAACCAATCTTCTCTGCTAATGGTCTTTTTGTCTCCTCCCCAGGGAACAACGTGGTGAGGACAGAAACCCCGTCTGACTCAGGTCCCAGCTCCGCTCAGCACAGGGCAGAGCACACAAAAGGTATGAGTTAGCTGAATGAGTGCATAAAGGTGCACTGAGCTCCTGACAAACTCTTATGCATCCTTCAAAACCCACTGCAAATGTCCCCACCTTGAGACAGCCTTGACTGACTTCATCAAACAGCACCCTCACTCCTCCTTGTGCTTTCCTGGCTCCTCCCAGGCTGTTTTGTCCCTTGCAGGGGATCCCTGTTTCCTCTGCCATGTGTAGCCACCTGGTCCCCAACTCCCCATGGCTGACCCGGCTCCATACCTTGCCCGCATAGTGCAGGACGCTGAAATCGGCCTGATCCCGCAACTGGCGTGGCCGCTGGAACTTGGGGTGGCCGCCCTGCTCCTGGGCCACCTTCTCCACGAAGGACTTGTCTGTGGCCTTGGGGAACCAGCATTCCTCATCCAGCAGAGCCAGGAGTCCTGGGGGGTTAGCCTGATCGCCCACAACAGGGAGAGAGAAAGTCGGGTCTCAAATATTGAACACAGGCTGCTGGGTTGTGTTCTTCCAAAGTGAGCACTGCCCTGTGAGCTGACCAGGCCCCGTGGCCAGCACGGTCAGCCTCTCGTTATCAGGTCGACGGGGAGGGGAGGGAGGTTGGAGTCTCAAGAGAAGCCGGACCTCGGCCCTCGGCCGGGTGGGGGGCTGACAGGGCGGGAGGGGCCTCAGGGCTCACCGGCCGCTCGATGAGGTCGATGCAAGGCTGCAGGTCGAGGCCGAAGTCGACGAAGGTCCAGGGGATGCCCTCCCGCTGGTACTCCTCCTGCTCCAGCACGAACATGGTGTGGTTGAAGAGCTGCTGCAGCTTCTCGTTGGTGTAGTTGATGCACAGCTGCTCGAAGGAGTTCAGCTGCGGGGCGCAGGGAAGAGTGAGCGTGGGGGCTGGGCCCGGGGACCCCGAGGGCCCAGAGACCCAGAGAGGCGCAGGCGGGGGCGAAGCCCTCTCAGCCCCCGCCCCGCCCAGAGCGCAGACCTGGAAGATCTCGAAGCCAGCGATGTCCAGGATGCCCAGGAAGGACGCCCCCTGGCGGGGGCTGCGGTCCAGAGCGCGGTTGAGGCGCAGGACGAGCCAGCGGAAGAGGCGCTCGTAGGTGGCCTTGGCCAGAGCCTCCAGCGCGAAGTCAGCCTGCAGGGCCGGGCGCACAGAGACCGTCTGGTGGCGCCGCAGTAACAGCCGACCACCACCCGCGGCCCCACTGCGCGCGAGGCTCGCTGCGAAGCGCTCAGGACACGTCATTCGTTCTTGCACCCTGGCCCGAGCCAGCCCTGTCTTCTGCCTGGCAGCGGCTGCCCCAGGCAACACCCCCAAATTCTCCATACAGTAGACAAGAGGGTCTTTATAAAGGAAATCGAATCGAGCCCTTCCCCGGGTTGAAAAAGGACAAAGGGAAGTCCCTCGTGGGCCTCCTGCTGCGCTCAAAATACAACTCGCCTCCTCGCGTGGCCCCGGGACCCGTGGGCTGGAGCCTCCCGGCTGCTCTCAGCACAGCTCGCCGCCCGCTGGCTTGCGCCCGGGTGTCCCGGCTCGCCCGTCCCAGCCACGTCCCAGCCACGGGTCTTCACACATGCTGTTCCCTGACTCAGCCCAGACAGCACCTCCTCCGAGCGCACTTTCCCGCTCTTCCCGCCGCTTCCTCCTCCGTCTTCCTCCCTTTCCTTCTGCCTTTTAAGAAAAGCGTGTCCCTACTGCTGCGCCTGGGCCCCACCAGGCTTCCGCTTCTTTCCAGCTTTTACACCCAGCAGGCACCTTGACAGCCCGGGAAGGTCTGAGTGAATATGGGTTGGGGGCCGTGTGCGGTGGAAGTGGGGTTGGGCATGAAAAGTGGGTCCCAGCTTCAGCTGCCTAAGGCTGCAGGCCGAGCCCCCCGCCCCC